TTTTACTTGCACTAATAAATAAGCATTATGAATGTTTGGAATTAGAAAGAGGAAAAAGGGGTACAAAAATTAGAGGCTCTGGATAACAAAGCTAAACTTTACCCATTTAAAAGACATCATTATTTTGCCTAGGATTAAAGTTAATTATAATAATTTGCTCTTGTTATGTGCCTTTACCTTTCTTTCTCCAAACACTTATTTCATAGTTATGTGTGTCAAGTTGTTAAGGGTAATGATCCTATTCTTATCATCAAGGAGGGGGGAAAAAAACCAAGACCAAAATGAAACAGATGTTCTAAAAACTGTGGGAAGTTGGCTTTGTCAGATCATTGAATACGTGATTTTTGACTTAGTATCTATACAATTGAAATAGAAAAAAGGCAGAGACCCTGACTGTGGGTCTCTTTGTGGCTGCTTCTTCCAGTGTATCTAAAGTCACTGATGCTGAGTGGATAAATAAGAGTCAAGTTAATTAACGAAAATGGTTGAAGTGATCAGTTCAAGCACACTGTTTAGTAGACTCGCTACATAAATCTGTGTAAACAGAGGCTGACTCAGGTTGTTGCTGTAGCCACCAAGCGCTGGTCTTTTTAATTTGAATACAGGCATATTTGAATATCTGTGGTGGTGGGTGGGGTGGGTAGATGCATCTTGGTTAACAATTTCTGCATATCAAATCAAATGGAACATTTTTAAAAGTTCATTTCAAAAACCAGTAAAATGCATAGCACTAAACATTTAGGAAAAATAATTTACTAGCTCAGAAACGTTCATGCTATATAAATACAGTAATGTCGATAAAGTAAGGCATGAAATAAAAAACCCAAACTTGAACAGTTATTGCATGACGCAAGACTATGAGCAAGAACAGGTAGGAGCCAAGAGCTTCTGTTAGAGGTATTTACCTGTGCTTTAGCATCTTGTCAGAGGCCTACAACAGAAAGGCTGGCCCAGGGCAAGGCAATTTCAGCCTCTCCGCTGTCAATCTTCCTTCATATCCCTTTCCTTTCTCATGTTCCTCTTCCCTTCCCTGATACTTTACTGGTGGCCAAGGAAATAAGAGGTAAACCTTAGAATCCTTCTTAGACCATGGCTCCTTTGGTCTTTAATTGTAAAGACAAATGTGAATTCGTTGCTCAGAGTTTCTAAAGTGTGCTGCCTGTACTATACAGAAAACTTTTAATTTTACTACCTCCTCATCTGGAGTCATCCTTCTCAACCTAACTCTCTTAGAAAAGTTCTTCAAGTACAGGAAATAGAGAGATCCGCAGATGTCCTCTGAAATGTTTTCATTTTTTACATGCTGATCTGATATTTTATCCTTTTGTTATTTAAAACATTATGTTTAATGGTCATATCATAATGAAATGTTTGGGACTTTTTTGTTGTTGACAGTCTTTGAGTTTACAGAAGTCATCAAGACATGAAAGACAATCAGAAAAAGAGAAAAGAGAGATTAATAGTGAAATAGTCATATGCGTTAATGAATGAGGGTAAACTAACAGAAAATCAGAAAGACAAGTTCATAATTGTACACACTGGAAGTTAACTTTGAGTAAACCTGTGTACAGAATTAAAAAAATTTTTTTGACTTCCCTCACCACTTCTGTCACTTGACCTATGTATAGAATTTTTAAAAATTCTGTAACAATTATATATTTATTTCAGAATATTATTTTAATGTATTACTATTAATTTTCAAAGATCATGTAAGAGGTCTCTGTAGAACATTCTTTTTGCTTCAACGCACACTTCCCAGTGTTTATACATGTACACTGAGTCTTGACTGATGTCTCATTAACTATTCATGGGTCCTGGTATTCTAGGGCTTCCCAGTTGTTAGCTCTGTGTATTCCTTACTAAATCAATGCAACTTTTGTAATAATAACAAAGACAGGCATTTACTCTCTTATATAAAACACTGTGACTTGAAAATGTGTAGGCTGGGCGTGGAGGCTCATGCCTGTAATTTTAGCAGTTTGGGAGGCTGAGGCGGGTGGATCACTTAAGGTGAGGAGTTCAAGACCAGCCTGGCCAACATGGTGAAACTGTGTCTCTGCAAAAAAATACAAAAATTAGCTGGGCATGGTGGCAGGTGGCTGTAATCCTAGTACCGGGGAGGTTGAGGCAGGAGAATCACTAGAACCTGGGAAGCGGAGGGTGCAGTGACCCTAGATGGCGCCAGAGCACTCCAGCCTGGGTGACAGAGCAAGACTCCATCACAAAAAAAAAAAAAAAAAGAAAAGAAAAAGAAAAAGAAAAAAACAAACAAATCAGAAGGGTTATGTTGAAAATTAAGCTTCAGTTCCTAAGTTTCCATTAGATAGTTACACATTAAAATATACTAATATATAAAAAGCACATAATATTAAAAGCACAAAAATGGTTATATTGAAGAAGTCAATATAACTATTGGCTATATAAGCCCCAAATGGAGTAAGCATACTTTAGATTTTAGTCACCACAGTTCCAAACTTTAAAGTTTAATTTAAAAGAAATGCATAGATCTATAAACACACACACACTCACACAAATTAAATATACATTAGAATGATGCAGAAAAACAATGTGATTGAAATGTCTAGGAAACTTACTTATCTCAGAATTGAAACTTATCATCATTTGTCTAAATAAACAGATGAGAACACAGACTCCTCAATTTTAGGATTTAGTTCACACAAAATCAGAATCATTGTGCTGACTGTGGTGAGTCAGGGATGAGGAAGATCTCAGCAACCTCTTGGATTCAGTGCCCATACTGGATCAAGTTAACATTTGCTTTGGAGAAATGAAGTTATTTGAACAAAACAAGTAAGAGATAAACAATTTTTTTTTCTTTTTCTCTCTCTCTTCTTTTTTGAGAAGGAGTCTCATTCTGTTGTCCAGGCTGGAGTGCAGTGGTGTTATCTCAGCTCACTGCAAACTTTGCAAGCAATTCTCCTGCCTCAGCTTCCCAATAGCTGGGATAACAAGTGTCCAACACCAGGCCCAGCTAATTTTTGTATTTTTAGTAGAGATAGGGTTTCACTATGTTGGCCAGCCTGGTCTCGAACTCCTGACTTAATGATCTATGATCTGCCCGCATTGGCCTCCCAAAGTGCTACGATTACAGGTGTGCAAACAATGTTTTTATAAGTGCTCAAGTAGAATCATAGTACTGGTAACAGATTTACAGGCACTCTAGAAAAAGATGTTTTTGGAGCTGAAAGTTCTAAACTTTGCCTTACTACCATTTATCATATAACTAAAAAAGTCATTAACCTCTGATCCTTAATATCTTCATTTGTAAAATCAGAATAATGACACTTGCTGTATTTATATTTCCTCATGCTTATAAACTTAAAATTACTACACTAGTACTATTACTTTTAGTACTCTAATTACTAATTCCTTCTGTTATTATCACTAATAATACCAATTCTACCAGTAACTGAAGCTTTCTATGTGCCAAAGCTTTGTGAATTACTTTTCATACCTTCTAAATATATCAAAACTTTCTCAACAGTCCTATCAGGTAACTATGCTGATTTTCTTCTTACAGACATCTCAGAGTGATTAATAACTGCTAGAAGTCTCACAGCTATTAAGAGCTTGCATGGAAATTTGTTCACTTTAGATCCATTATATCTTGTTTTCTCTGATATATTCATACATAATGTCAACACATAATACATATTATCTCTATAACATAGATATATTATTCATTTTATATACACAGAGACATACACTTATGCTGTGAATTCTGAAATGCCATACCAAGGCTCTCGTTTATTTTTATTTTATTTTTTTAAATTTCAAAACCTAATGCATAAAACAAAGTAGGTATTTAGTCAACATTTGGGAAAAATAATATAAGAGAGGTAACTAAGATAATTTTGATTGAACTGTTCATTGAACTGACATTAAGTGTGTCAGCAGTAACAGTGGCTAAATCCTCCTCATCTTCAAGATTATGTTATTAAAAATTACTCTAGAAGACACATATTGCATGGCACTACTTACATGTGGAAGATTTTTTTAAAAGTTAAATTCCTAGGAACAGAGAGGAATGATGGTTGCCATAGGCTGGGGTGTCAGAGAAAAGACGAGATACTGGTCAAAAGGGACAAACTTGCAGCTATAAGAATAAATTCTGAGGACTCATATACAGCATGGTGACTACAGTTAATAATACTGTACTGTATACTGGAAATTTGAAATTTGCTAAGAGCGTAGAACTTATGCATTCTCACACACACAAAAAAGGTAACTATGTGAGGTGATAAATGTGTTAGTTAATTGTGCTAAACATTTCACTATGTATATGTATATTGGATCAGCACATATACTTTAAATGTATAAAGTTTAATTTGTCAGTTATACCTCAATAAAGCTGGAAAAACTTATTGTATGAAACAAACATACCCGGATTTTTTTTTAATTATTTGTGTTCAATTCTAGGTACAAAGTTGACAATGATAGAGAAGCAGCTATTTTCAATAAATGGGGGCTGACATCTAACCCTACGGTCCAGGTAAAAGGAGGGAGAAAAGATTCATTTAAAAATCACATATGATTCCTACTTTTCAAAGGATGAACACATTATCTTCCAAATTTAAATCTAAAAAGATATTCTATAATTTCCTGTCAAAACAAGATAATACTTGCCATATTTCCCTTGACTGTATAATAATAATGATGATGATAATCAAATAGTGACATTCAAAAAGAATAATTTTTTTTTTTTTTTTTTTTGCAGAGTTAAGGAGAAGGGCGAGAGAGGTATTAGAAAAGATGCACAGAGGTCTTATATCTCATCAAAGCATGAATTTCCAACTCTTTCAAACACTCCATTCTCTGCCCTAATCTCCCAAAGAGCATCCAGCTGAATGAAAAGCTTCTGACATTCGTGCCAGTTCACAGCTAGAATGACATGGCTGGGGGACAGGAGACGCTGCAGTTTCCATTATCCATTGAACACCTTGGCAATTCTTATTTCATCCTGTGAATGTGATACTTACTCTTGTACTGCTCTGGCTATGGAAAGGGCCGTAGATCCGGTTTCATTAACGCTATCTAAGGTCACATTTGGCAGGTCATCATCTTCACTGTCACTTTTACTTTGTCTGGGAGATAGGCCTCGGGGGTCCATTTGTGCTGGAGAAAAAAGGCATATATAATGAATTAAAATCAGTGCGCAGAAAGTTAACCTTGTCCTGGACCAACATTAAGCATGGAGCTTCTCTTCTGTGCGTATCATGCAAATGGAATTCTCTAGACATCACAGGAATTAGTGACAGCTCCACGTTTTATGTTCTGAGTACTTAGTGATTCTTTTCACCTTCAATGGATTTACAATACCTACACCAGCTCTCAAGAGTTTCAGGGTATGACTATAGAGTAGAAACTATAAAATTCACAATGTTACCAACTTTTGGGTGGTCAAAAGCTGATTACGTAGCTCCCGAGCTACTGTTCAACCCTCTGGTTTCTCCACCTCCTTGCTTCTGCTGCCAGAGTTCTGGCCATTTCACTGCTCATTAGCACTCCCCCTGGAAGGTGGAGAGCATGTGGTAAGGAGCTATTAGTTGCTTACGGCTCCCTTAGTAAGTTAAAAGAAGAACAGGGTTTGCACGACTAAAAGAAAGTATAGGTATTTTTCTTACTTCAGTGAATCCCTGTCCCCAAGTTCTACTACTATAAGGTGGGATTTGAAGGGGTAAAAATGACAAAAGTGGTAGCATTTTAGATAACATGTTTCTCAGTGCTAGACTGTGCTCTTCAACTCTATCCTGATTTTATTTTTCAAAAAGTCATGTCCGGATATGATTCTCCTCCCACCGTGAATCTGCCAAAGCAAGAAACGGCACAATCTTCTGACCTCTGTTGACCAAGACTATCAGATCCTTTCAAATGAGAGGATTACTGTTAACATATGTTAACACATATTTTTAAAAATTAGATTTCATTTCCACCTCCTTTTCCCTATGAACAGATTTAGCAACCACTGCCCAGAATTTCTATCCGCTTCACCTCAAGCACAAACTAGGTATACCTTTTCAATTAAAAGAAACGCATGAGCTACACAACCACAATGTTAAATCGTGTGGCTGCCTAAGATTTCTAAAACCACCACCGCTTGCCAGGGAAAGCAAAATGCAGGTGAAATCATGGTCACAGTGACATTTGGGTACATTTTATAATGTCATTTTTTGTCTTAAATCACTCTTTTTGGTTACTGTGTGTCATACATTATACAGAACCACATGGAATTGCTGAGAATGCACCATTTTTACCCATGACATGGCAACTTCTGATGATTGTGTTTGATATTTACAATCTGGCTAGAAAAACTATACCTAGAGAGTTTCAACATATTTCAACATATTGCTAACTACACGTGGTTAGGAAAGAACTTACATCTAGCGAACCTGGTGTGCACCAGTGTATTTGACATACATCCTGCCTATAAATATAAACATATCAAAATGTGCTTTGCACAATGGAAGTGTTTGGTAAATATTAAATTTAAAAGAAAATAATGCAAATAATCTAAAGAGTTTTCCTCAACCAAATGCAAATTTGCCTCCCAAGAGACACCTGCCAATATCCAGAGACATTACTGTTTATCACAACTTGGGGGGTAGGGAGGGTGCTCCTGGCATCTAGTGGGCAGAGGCTAAGAATGTTGCTAGACATTCCACCATGCACAGGACAGCCCCTCACAGCAAAGAGTGAACCAGTCAAAAATGGCAGTAGTACCCAGGCTGAGGAACTGATCTAGGGATTTAAGTGTTTGGACATATAAAAGGTGTCACACTTTATGACTTTCAATTCCTACGTAACTATGCTCTCACTTCAACACTACTAACAAGGAAATTGTCACACATCAGATTATCCATGTTTTCTGGCCTTCTCTTAAAAAAAATTCAGTCACGTGACCCTGTACCTCCTCCAATGTCAGGAATTAGGCAGTAATATTTATTAAGAGCTTTTGAATATTTTCTTTGAACCACGAGCTATGGGACAAAAAGATTATTTTCCATCTGCTCTCTGGAGGAGATCCACTAGAAGAGGGCTATTAGAGAAACTGTGGGGCAAAGCAGCCAGTTCCATCACCATCGGATAACAGAGAGCTTGACTACTCAGTCACCTGAAGGGCACTTGAAGGAACCATATCATTTAAGATTAATTTTTGCTGTAGGCAACAGAAATTGGCTCAGGCTAACATATAAAGAAATGTGCTGGAAAGATAATGAGCAGTGCACAGAATGGAAGGTCAAAATGAACAACCAACGCTAAAGGAACATAGGATCCAGGAATGACACAGTCATTTCAGCTGGGAATGCACAGACAGTTTCTTTTTGGGCAATCTTGTTCTAGAATGATTCATTTAACAGCCTTTTGCAACTATTCAAAGCCAGCCAAAAAAAAAAAAAAAAAAAAGAATATCAGATCCATCTAAGCTTCCAAATCACATATTGTGTGGTGTTTCATACACCTGTAAATGTCAACAATTTAACATTTTAAGTTGTTGAAACATCATGCGCTATGACGCCTTTGCCAAGGTACCAAATTTGTAAATAGCCAAGAAAAAAGAAAATATTCTGATAGTCCCATTTTGTCCAAGACAACTAGAGCTCTTATAGTAAGTAATACAACTCAAGGAAGACAGAGGCAGTTAACCACGAGCAATCTGGCTCTGAAAGTTAAAGTCTGATTGTATGAAAGATTCCAAAACCTTGTGTGAGAGTTGTTACATGATCATCTAATTATGTTATGTTTATATCTTAATGAAAGTTTAAAATATGTTAAATATGATATCTTTTTGATGTACTTTTCAGGAGCATAATTGAGGATTTCTTTGCAATATTTTCAATAAATATTATGAAATACATCTGCTACCATCATGCTGCAAAACTCTTTTTACCCATACCTTCAGCCAAGCTGAGGAAGTAATTAGAAAGGCTTTTCAAAATCTGCATTGCTGATTAGGTCAGATGATTAGCTTATCTACATACTTGCATAATTCCACTCTATTTTTATTAAATGTAGAATAGGGACATCAACCCTAGTTAACCTCCATTAGTCTTTGAGCATCTCAGCCCATTTAGGAAGGACTGATTCTTTGCGGTGCCCATTTAGAGACAAAAGGAAGTTACCTGGACACCAGAAACAAAAAAATATCAACTTCTGTAAGTAAGAGAACAGGAGATGATCTATAAACACCTGAAAAGAATTTACACTTTAGATTTTACTGCTTTCTAATGAAAAGGGATCAGACAGTTTTGGGTATCCCAGCTCACTGCTGGTAGAGGTGTCATTCCTCGGAGTTGGAGGTGTTCTGGAATCCTATGTGAGTTTCATTCCATGTGTCAAAATCCTGGGGAGAAAATATCAGAACCCAACACCGGAAGTTGAGCTGATTTACTTTGGTTCAAATACTCAGGTATGGTAGATTGTTACTATAAAGTTCCCTCCAGGAAACCATGTCTGCCTGTATCCATGCTCTTATGTGGCCACTTCTCAACAATGACTCTGGGTTTGGCTCTAAGACTTGATGTGACCAATGGGACATTAGCAAATGTGACACAAGCAGAGGCTTGAAAAGTACCTGCACCTTGGATTTCCCCTTTCCTCTTGTTGTTTTTAGAACCCAGTCACCCCGCGAAGAAGCCCAGGTGAGCCTGTAAGAGGCACACTGCTCACTGGCAGCCAATCCCACTGAAAGCCATGTTAAGTGAGCCATTTTAGACTCACCAGCTACATTACAGCCACCAGATAACTGCAGCCCTGAGTGACCCCAGGTGAGATCTGCTTGAAACCCTCTTGGCTAAACCCATGCCACATTTCTGACTCACAGAATTTTGAGCAAATAAAACACCTGCTCTTAGGCTGGGTGCAGTGGCTCACACCATTGTAATCCCAGCACCTTAGGAGGCTGAGGCAGGAGGAAGACCGCTTGAGCCCAGGAGTTTGAGACCAGCCCAGACAACATCGTGAGAACCTGTCTCTACAAGAAATTTAAAAAATTTGCAAAATGTGGTGATGCACACCTGTACTCCCAGCTGCTTGAGAGGCTGAGGTGGGAGGATCACTTGAGCCCAGGAGGTTGAGGCTGCAGTGAGCTATGACTGCACCACTGCACTCCAGGCCTGGGCAACAAAGTGAGACCCTGTCTCAAAACAACAACAAAAAAAAAAAAAAAAGAAAGAAAGAAAAAGACAAAGACAAGACTTACTATTTTATTCTACTACAATTTAGGGTGACTTGTAGGGCAGCAATATAAAGTCAGTGCACTAGGTTACTCGCCCAGCTCCTTCTAGAGATCTCCTAGCAATGACGCGGATGAACTACAAGTACAATTACAGTCTTAACAATATTGAACTGAATTAAGTTTGGCCTAAAGCTGCCTCTATACACGTTTTAAGTCTGGCCTAAAGTTTCTTCTGTACACGCTGAGCTGTAACCTAACTTGATGTGTAAACAGATGCAACACGTAGCTGAGTTTCGGTCAATCAAAGGTGGCCAACTGCTGAAACCAGATTCAATTAAGGCACATTCTGGGTTCTAACCAATGGAGCTGTCTCTGTACCTCACTTCCATTTTCTGTACATCACCTCGTTTGCTCTGGCTATAAATATAATCCGCACATGCAGTAGGGTGAAGCATTCTGAACGTTTTTGGTCCAGACTGTTGTCTGATTCTGGAATCAAATTAAAGCCAATTAAGATCTGCAAAATTAGATTTGTTTTCTTTTAACAATATTATTCTTTATTCTCTTCCCAAGAGCCAACCCTGTTTTAGTGACATAAAAGCTGCCTACTGCATTCTACGTCATTCACTTTTCAATGCAAAATATTCAAATGTATGCAGGGGCATTTTGGCTTTTGAGGTATCTTCTCTGACCCTTCAGTACTGCGCAGCTAAGTTTCTTCTTGGGTCCTATGAGGCCATCTAGTTATGATGAACGATACTTATTTATGTATTTATTTATTTATGTTTTTAATTTTTTTTTTCAGATGGAGTCTCACTCTGTCACCAAGGCTGGAGTGCAGTGGCGCAATCTCGGCTCGCTGCAATCTCTGCCTCCCAGGTTCAAGCCTCCCAGGTTCCTGCCTCAGTCTTCCAAGTAGCTGGGATTACAGGCGTGAGCC